ACCAGAGATTCAGATGAAGAATAGGGGAGCCCAAAAAAAAAAAAAAAAAAGACATAAAGAATAATATGGTACATCTTCACTTAGAGTGACTTTATTTCTTTGTTTACAAGGTCAAGAGAGTCTGAGAAGTTACTACAATTCCTCAGTTGTACCTGATTTCTTTTTGTTCTGATTCCTTTTGAAAGCAACTACAGGTCATTATGAGGCTCCCTAAACAACTTCCTGCCTAAAAACTTCACAAAAGTATAGCTAACCAGCAGAGCATAGTGGGGAAGGCAGACTGCAGCAACTGGAGAAAACCTTTGTCGCTCACTCCAACAAACCAATCAAATCCCCTTAAGTCTCCAGTGAGAAAAAAAACAAAACCACAGAGCACACTAACCAGAAGCCCAAATCCTCCCTGCTAAAGCCCAGCCTGAAAAAGTCCCTGGGTTTACCTTAGAGTCAATCAATTGAATGGCTTCGGCCAAAGCTGACCAGAAAATGACTTTTACATTTTCTTTTTCAAAGTATGTGGCCCAGGCACTGCGCTGCTCCGTGGTCAACAAATCTGCTTTATTTATTAGAATGACGTTCTCCTTGTCATCATCTATTTCTTTCACATAACATTCCTAGACAAGACAAAGATATTTAGAAAGGACTCTTCAAACGACAACAAAGCCTTTTACTGCATCCAGCTTTAAGTCATTCCTAATGTAAAGATTTTTAGTTACAGCAACTTTACTCATTTCTTTCATTAAGCTTTAAAAAGAAGTTAGGTCACGTGTACTTAGAAATAGCATAAGAAACTAGAAAGGGTAACAGATGTTTTCTTGTCCTACTGTGTGTAACTATTTCTTTTTCTTTAAATACTGTCATTTCTCTCTTAAATAAAACTGAATTGGTTGTTTTAAATGAAATTAAAGAAATGCATAACTGGATTTGTCAGCGAGAAGGGAATATTTTTCAGGCAAGTGATATAGTCAATAATAGTCTCAACTCTTCATGTAAGAAATATTTTTGATGTCTAAAAGAAAACAATAAGTTAAATTAATTCTCAAATACAGTTCTTCATAAGAAATACAACAGAGAGGTATAAAAATTAACTTCATAAGTGTTTCACCTTTAAGATTTTTGCTATTCATCAGTAAATATAATTTGCACTATTACTAGCATGGTCTTCAAACAGAAATAGGAATATTCCACATGTCTGTCTTAACATCATTATGTGATTTTCACTCCTTAACTATTATTCCCCATGGTGTTTAACAAACTTAGCTAACTTGTAAAATACCACAGGGGTAATAACTCAAGGTGTGAGAAGAGAGAACACATGGGATGGACACATGTAAAGTTACTGGGAATGTGCTACAGGTAGTAAAATACTACTTCAACTGGTGCCTCTTAAAAAAATGAGAGATACTGGCAAGTGTCTGTAACAAAGCGGCTTCTAAACGCAAATACAGAAAGTTCATGTAGGTGTCTGTGCCTTCCAGCAGAAGCAAACGATTGTTTGAAAAGAGAAAAACATCTGTGTAAACAGTGGCATTATGCAAGCTGCTGACCTCTGGAAGGAGGCCTAATCAAACAAAACTAGGAGAGGACAGAGCTTGCTGAGAGCAACCGCTATTCATCATGCTGTCCTCCCACCGCTGCTCCAAGGACTTTCAGTCTAAAATCTTGTCACATGGTACTTACCAAATCCTCACATCTAAACAGGAGCGGGTTGCGTGCATCGACTATCTGGACCACAATATCACTGAAAAACAAAAGCAAGCCACTCCAACACTTTCTTTCCAAAAATAAAAGGGAACATTGACCAAATAATAGCAGCAAAAGCTTTCCAAATATTAAATACCTGAGAGATTTAACTTTTTTTTTTTAAAAGATTTATTTATTTGTGCATACAGAACTGGGGTACAGGCCAGAGGCTCAGGGGTGGCGAGAAGCTTCACCAGAGACAGAGTGGGGAGCAGAACAGGCAGATCGACTAAGTACACTGCTGAGGGGAGCAGCGGGCGGGTCAGGAGAGGTCTGCCACGCCATGTGGTCACCTCCGGGGCAGGCGGGAATCAAACCCATGCGGAAGCGGCTTTAGATTCTCAGTGCTGTGCTTTAACCCGCTGCGCCACCAGGGAGAGCCGAGATTTAACTTTTAAAGATAGTTAGTCCCTGGCTTATTTGTGAGGGAACTGAAGGTTCACTAAGGTTACCAGCTACTAAGTGATGGAGATGGAGCCAGAATGGGAACAGCTAGGAGCAGAGGCCATTCTCATGATCCTAATATTCTACTGCTCTAATATGGCCTAGAGGGGCTCCAATCAATGTTTCACTGCTAACTAAAACTTCAACTGTGTTCTTTCAGTAAACACTCCAGTAATCTAAAAGAATATTTCACACCCCTTATCCAAGGTTAGGCTACTGTATACTCAGTACCTAATCCAGTGGTGAAGGCCTGAAAAGAAAGCTGACATATTACTTGTGTACAGCCGCTACTATGTATTTAAGCCTAGAGGTAACAAAAGAAAGCATACATTATACCACCACTTCCAAGAATGTGCTTAATAGCAAAAATAAAAAAACAGCAAAATACCAACTTAAGTAGTATACTGGAACTGAAACGAAGAGTCCAACTTCTTTTATTACATACAAAAAACAGCAGTAAGAAAACTCTGTAGCTGAGTGCAAGCCCCTCAACTCCCAAAATGTAGTAGGGACTACAACAGCCCAGCACTGCCACTATTTCATTTCTCTGAGAGACTCCTTTCTTCCTTCAGTCTCTGTGGCAAGGAAAGAAGCTTTAAGGGCCAGCTGTGGCTGCCCCTGAGAGGAAATAAGCTGCAGATGTACTACCAGCTCATAGGAGCCTTTCCAAACCTCCCATCTGGCTAGCCTTCTGTGAGGTAACTCATGTAAACACACCAAACACTGGGGCTATATTAAGTCAAGGTGACTCTTGAGGGCAAGACTTTAGCAATCAAAGTGAATTTCCTTTCAAAATAGTTTATTTCCAGCATAATCTTGTGACTCAAAGGAACCCACAGATTTGCTAAATTAGATGAATGTTTTTTTAAGTTCTGAGTCCTAGTATTCCTTTCTTTAAGTGTAACATCGGCTACTTTCAAACTGTGAAGATTTAACAGGAAGTTCAGGATGACGGCAAAATTAGTAAAAGCCTAAAGAACTAAGGAATGAATAAAAAGAAATAGTCCATGAACATCATGTTTACCAACCAAAGATGGAGCAAGTCAGCTTGGAAACACTGGAAAGGTAAACTGAAGATAGCTTGCTTTATGTGAATTAGTGTGAAGAGCAAAGTGCCAAGTATGTAGCAGGAAGGGTTTAGGCAATACAATGGAAGCGCCTTATCTTGCTGGAATACAGCGTTCTGCCCTCTGCGGCGCAGCAGTTTCCTGCATTTCAATGACATGTTATACATCAAATCTTTTCTGATAACTACTCTTGGAATTAGAGGCAGATGGCTTAGCTAGCCTGTTACCAAACAGGAGACATCTGCTGTAGAAGACACATTAATAAATACTTCCTGTTAAAAGATGTGGCTGTAGTCACTTTATTGATAATATTTCTATGCAGCACAAATCTGCTTCCATGTGATATATAAATTATATTCCATGAGTTAAAAACATGGTCCCAGAGAAATATCACATCATAAAAATAACAGAGCAAGTAATATTGTATCCTAATAGAAGCTGGAAGTTTCAAAGTACAGGTTTACTCATGGTGAATCAGAGGCTTACTTAGGGGTATTCAAAAGCTTGTATAAGGGCCTTTCTAGAAAGTTAAATGGGAGTGAATACTTATGATGACCTGTCCCCTCTCAAACCTACAAAAAACGACAAGACCGAAATTCAGGACAAACAGAAGAATAACTGTTGCCCACAGAAGTCTTCAGGAAAATGACACTGGGTCTCCCCAAGCCCCATTGGGGCCTAGCTGAAGCAAAGGGGCCTTCAGGGAGCCTGGGAATCAGCAGCAAGCTCCTGCTTGTTCAGACTTGGATTTCTGCCTTACCCCCTTGCCTTGAGGGCACAGGATGGTGGAATGGAGGCATTTAAAATTTTACTCGTCAAAAGTAGACAATTCAGTGTCTTTTACTGTCTTCACAAAGTTGCATTATCTTTGTCAATACCTAACTCCAGAATATTCTCCTTAAAAAGAAATGTAATGGACTTTACAAGTTAAACCTAATTCTGTTTTCTTAGTAATATACTAAATGTGCTAATATTCTTTTCTGAGAATCCTAATTAAAGCACCCTGTTTCCAGCCCTCCCTGGTGGTGCAACAGGTTAGGATACAGCACTGCAAACAAGATGCAGCCACTTCAGCACGAGTTCGATCCCCAACTCCAAGGTGACCCACATGGTGTGGCAGACCTATCCTGACCCTCCTGCTGCTCCCCTCAGCAGTATACTTCATCTATCTGCTCCCCACTCTGTCTCTGGTGAAGCCTCTCACCAGCCTGCACCTCTGGCTTGTACCCCAGTTCTGAATGAATATATAAATCTTTAAAAACAAACAAACACCCTAATGTTTCCTAATGTCCTTACTGGCTATGAAAAAGCAACCCAGATGCATTCTTGTTACAAAGCATAATTTCAAATGTAAGGTTCACCTATAGCCCTTGAAAATATTTCAGACACTGAGGAAATCAAAAAGCTCTTAACAAGAAGGTAATAACAGAGAACAATGAATCAACACCTAATACTGAAACACCTAAAATGGAAAAACCAGAAAAATCTCTCAACTTATCACAATCTTTCTTTTCTTTTTCAATACCAATTAAAATCATCTCTTGGTTTTCCCCAACCCCTGCCAACTGCTCCTTTCTCCATTCACTCCTTTCTGTCTGTCTGTAACCATATAGGAACCTCACTGGTTTTGAGTTTTCCCTAGTCTCGAGTGACCCAAGCACAGGATGGCATCTCCTTCACTTATGCACCCCTGGCTCCATGGTGCTTTACTTGGCCTCTCCCAGAATGTATTTGCTTTCTGTAGGCAGAAAGAAGCCACCCTTTCTTACACCAGCATTTCCCATGTTACCAGGAGGAATTAATACACATCTGCTGAAATAATTGTAGGGGCTTCAGAATTAAGAGAAAATGTTCACCATTCTCACATACTTACTAGTGTGCTCATTTAATAACAAAAAAAAAAAATGCTTAAAAAGAAAAATAGTATCATTCTCTGTTTTTACAGTAATTCTACACAGCCCCTTGGTAAATTAATCCCTGTGTGACCTAATCTATCCCCCACACCTCCACCTGCCTATTAACACACCAGTCTCATAAAACATCACCATGTCTTCATCAGACAACAAAGAAAATAACCACTTACCTTCTCTCAATCACCCTCCAGAGCTGGCGCCAAAAGTCCAAATTTCTTTCAAAGGGAGTCAATATCAGCTTTTGATCCTCTTCTAGTCTGGCTTTAGAATGAGAAGATTATACCTTTGCCAGATTATAATTCATCGCATTAAAAAAAAAGTACACAAAAATCAACCATCAAATTCTTTTTATGTACTTTTCTGCTAAGTCAATATGAAAATTAAACTCTATACTTATACTACTTAAGCCCTGGAAGCTTATCCCACAGTCACATTTCTTTTATACATCTCAGCCTGGAGAATGTTCAAGAGAACAGAGATCAACTCCAGGTTGACTAATGGCTTAAGAAGGGAAGGAAAGGAGAAAAGGCCAGATTAGGAGGAAAGTAACCAACTCACTATCTTTGTGTAAGGATGTATACAAATTAATGTGTGCATACCAATTTGCACACCAGAGGAAGATGAAACCTATTTCCTTTTTAAAAGAATCAAGCCTTAGGTGTAAAAAGCAATGAGTGCAAACTATGAAACTCCTGAACTAAAATTTCAAGGCAAACTTTCATATCATCTATCACTCACCGGACAAGTTGACGCCTCCATTCTAGAAAGTTATCTTTTTCTGCCTGTTTGAGTTCTTCTGGGCTAGTTGTTCTGTCCCATTTTGGTCTGAGATAATAATACAGGGGGTAAAAATTAGTTATTAAAATAAAACAGGGAATATGGATTTAATAATGGCCCTTGAGAAAAGGAAGCAGGAAAAAAGTGAATACCAACTTAGAAGCCCTGTATCTGTTCAACTCACCTCCTTGGTATACACAAAAACTGTCTATTTTCTTCATGGAGCTTCTTAATCCTCTGGCTCTCCTCAAAAGATGGCAGTCCAGTTCTGGACTCACGTGACACAAACTGAATATTAAGCTTCTCTGTTTACAGAAAAGAAAAGCACTATTATTATAATGACAGTATAGATAATGAATATTGGTCATTACTTGGAAAAACCAGACATATGAACACATACAATATAATTGAAGCTTTCTTGATTTAGATGCTTCTAGTTTCAAATAAATTATAATTTCCAAATGAAGTTTTCTACCTTAAAAAAAAAAAAAAGAAATGGAGAATAACTGAATAACTGAAGGTAATGGGAGTGGGTGAGAAAGGCAAACAACACAGGTACAACAGAGTCATTCCAGAAAGAATTGGTCAACTACTACATTGCTATATTTACAGAAGCTGCTCATGAACACTCCAAGTTAATGCTGAACAAGAATTCAAACACGTAAGGAAAAATTCTAAGTCTATTTATGAATTATAGAGCCCTCCGTTCCAGGGTTCCATCTTGAGTTGCTCCATGACTCTTCACTCAAGACACACAGATACTCAGGCCCTGTGGACAGAAGACTCCAGTGAGGGAAGCACCTGAGAAGCCCATTAAACTCGGTACTGTAATGCCAAAGGGAGAGGTCCTCCTCAAAGATGATGGGACATCTTTGGCAACATCCTTCTTGGCCTTGAAGCAAAGACTGTCACTGTTACCTTCATCAGACCGTCAATACCTCCTGAGACCTTGGTCTACAGAGGCCAGTAACCGTGAGGAGTCATTCTCATTCATGTCAGCCTCAACCCACGGTCCACACATCAGTCTAACTGCATACTCGACAAGCCTTTCACATCAATTCCCCTTTCCAAAGATGACCTCCTACCCAGTCTTCCCACTTTGCTTTGTTCCAACTCTCTAAGATCCTCAAACTCCTTGCTTCTTTCCTCTTCTCCAGTCCATCAATCCTCTAGTTTGTAACTTCATTTCTTTCTCTATTTGGGTAAAGCCACATGATACATACATCCAATCACACTCTCATGGAACAGGGAACTCCTCACCCCGCACTACACACACTCAAATCTCCAACCTCAGATAAAGCCAGCAATCTGTGCTCATCCTAATTTCAGTAGCAGCACTGTGAGTGATTCTGCCAGTCCCGATTTCTGCCACTGAGCTGTTTTTACTACGAGCACTTGTAACACCAGAGTGTGGGTTCTCCCCCCAAGAATGAGTCCTCCAATTGTGCACGTATCAACCTGGAGGCCCTATTAATTCAATTCTATTCTGACACTAGTAGCGTCAGATTCCACAGGTTAAGGGCTCAGTCCCACAAGATCACCCCACTTCATATACCAAATTTCTTTGGTATAATTAGGTAGACACGGTTGATAAATCTTTTGGTCACTGGTAATTAACTCAATCTTTAGTACTTCTCTGGGACTGAGAAGGTCCTGAAAGGTCTAGCCCTCTAATTACAGCACTGGTTTGTAGGAACCAACTAGTCATCACTGCCATCAACTCAGATATGGCTGAAAGGGGCTTATAATGAATAACAAGATACACTCCACTTGCTACTAAAGAAATTAAAAAGTTTTTAAAGAAGTTAAACAACTAGGGATGAAGACCAAATAAATATATTTCTTACTGATAAGGTTAATCTGTACATCATTTGTACAAGCTAATCTTTCCAACTCTGCTTTTGATCTTATTCTATCCCCACGTCCTTCCAGACTGAAATTTTGTTCCATTTCCTCATTAATTTCCATTTTTCATGTTTTTAAAAATTAACTTTTAATTACATAATACATGACCTCTCTTTGTAAAAAATTCAACAACACAATAAGGCAAACATTTCTTTTGGCCAGTGCCCAAGCTGCTCCCCATCCCTGCAATTCCAGTTCCCTCTCTTGAGGCTATTGATTAAATGTTTAACCTTTCACATCTTTTTCTAATATATACATGGGTTGATTTTCAATGCAAATAGTGCTGTATTGCTATTCTGCAACTTGGTCTTTTTATCTGGAAATAAGCCTGACAGGCCCATTACAACAGTATACAGTACCTCATTTTTAAAATTCTGAACTAGCACATTCTGTACTTCACAATCTGAATTCAACTGGACCTTCCCACACTATTGCTGAGATATCTTTATTCAGATTAAAGGGAAGTTGGTGAGGGCCTTCCTGGTGGTGCAGGGGATTAAAGCACAGCACTGAAAAGCTAAAGCCATTTCAGCAGGAGTTCAATCCTCCACCCCAGAGGTGATCCACATGGCCCGGGACCTCTCCTGACCTGCCTGTTGCTCCCCTCAGCAGTGTATTTCGTAGATCAGCTTGTTCTGCTCCCCACTCTGTCTCTGGTGAATCTTCTCACTGCCCCTGAACCTCTAGCCTGTACCCCAGTTCTGTATGCATAAATAAATCTTTAAAAAAAAGAAAAAAAGCGAGAGCGCTCGGTGAGTTTAGTAGGACCCCCAAAACTATCCAAATAGACATTATCTGTATCTAGTCAAGTAAAGATAAAAATGTGAACACTGTCATACACACTTAGCAAAAAACAACTTACCAGCTACAAACTCTGTTCCTGCAAGTTCAGCAGTTGCAAGGAAGTCATCAAGGGAGCTCTGTTCAGTCACTGACTGAAGATTCAGACGACCCCAATCATAGCCATCATTAAGTTCACTTGTGTGCAACTAGGAATAAAACAGGATAATACAGTTGTTCTTGCCATCCAAACTCAAGGAACCCTCAAGGAACTAGTCTACGGTCTTGAAGGTGACGTCGGCCCTTCAGCCAATCCAAAGAACACCCAAAAAGAGTAGTTAAGACTAGTTTTTATGTTTTTCAGAAACACCAGAGACAACTAAACGCTTCCACGGCGATATTCTGTCGGGATTCAGTCCCTTCAGCATCTCCCTCTAGTCTCGCCATCGCAGTATCCCTCCTCTGCCCTGTGCTCCTGTCTTGCTAGGAGGATTTGCAAATCAAACGTTCAGAACTCATCCTCCGCGGCCGGCTTGGGCTTGCCTCTAGAAACATTCTGGTGACCTCTGACCCCGTTTCCCAGACTTCCGACCCTCATAACTAGACAGAACCTCTGAGAAAGATTAAAAGATCGGCGATACCCAGGAGTCGGTATGGCGGTGACTACGGCTCCGTTGAGTCTGCTGGCGCATAAGCGCCCGGCCGAGGGATCTAGTGTCTGGAGTTTTCTTTCGGCCCATGGCCTCGGGTCCGCGATCCGCAAGTTCTCTGCCGACCACACGCGTTTTCCGGGATTCAGGGCGCACGATACCGGAAGTAACGTTTGAGCGAGCCCAAAGAATTTAGGTCTCAGATGAAATTGGGGTAATTTGCTCAGAATTGCCCTTTAACTATCTTACACTCGCCAGTTTGTTAGAAAATAAGTACAGAATGGTCTGGAACGTAATTTCTTTAGATGTCCCTACGAATATCTCCAATTTTGATAGGATGATGGAATCAAAAAGATGGTACCTTCCAGTCTTGTGCGACGGTCTTTAGCGTCCGGTGAGGAACTAGGAGATCTGGAAAATGTGTCCGTTTACGCGCGAGGTACTTATCTCGCCTCCAGGCTGTTTTCGTCCGAGGAGGCGGAGCCTCGGGCTGCTTAGTATTTCTGCGGCGTTAGGTGGGATTGTTTGCAGGCGCTTGTCTTCAGTTCCTAGGCATGCCCTCGCGGCCGCCAAACCCTGCGACTCTATAGCTCTCATGTTTAAGTCTTTTCCAGCTGCGAATTGGGAAGAAAGCCCCTGCCTGCATGGGAATGGAAGCACGAATAATGATGTTTCCATAGCTTGGTAGTGTTGAAAATAAAAGAAAGAAAAGCCTATCTGCTTTAATACAAATACTTTATATAAATTTTAAAAAGTTTAAAGGTACCATTTAAAATTGTTGAGAATAAATTCTATAAATTTAAAAAATATTTATTTATGCATACAGAACTGGGGTACAAACCAGAGGTGCAGGAGTGGTGAGAGAGGACTCACCAGAGACAGAGTGGGAGCAGAATAGGCAGATTGACAAAGTACACTGCTGAGGGGAGGAGCTGTGGGCAAGACAGGCTAGGTCTGCCACCATGTGGGTCACCTCCGGGGCCCGATGGAACTCGCACTGAAGCGGCTGCGTCCAGTTTGCAGTGTTGCGTCCAGCTTGCAGTGCTACGTCCTAATCCCTTCTGTCATCAGGGAGGGCCCAGAATTTCTATAAGTTAAAGTTAAAATTTTGAACCCACTCCACTACGCGGCCCAGGCTTTAAGTTTTCACCTCACACTTTGATGTCTCTATATGGGAATATTTAAAGGCGGTTTGTGTGGGTGTGGGCTTTTTACCTAAGTTTTCATGAGTGGGCAGAACCACGTAAATTTTCAGAAAGGGAGCAGCTTGCCCATATTGTAACTGAAATAAAAAAAACAGGTCTCCTCACGATAATGTAACGCTCCTGGAGAAAGGATAGAATGGAGGTCGTTAATGTTATTTTAAAACCTAGGACGTCTCTGAATTTACTGTGCAGAAGAATCCCCCGAGAATCTCATTAATATGCAGATTCTGATTAATAAGGTCTGGGGTGGTGCTCTGGTCTCTGTACCTCTAACAGGGTTCCAGGTGATGGTGATGTTTCTGGTCTAGTCCACGGGCCACACTTGAGTAACAAATAAGTCTGCTCCCTCTGATGCAGGTAAACATATGGAAGTGGACTGGTTAACAGTGAAAGCAAAGTAGAGACAAGCAGAGCTGGGACCCTATCACTCACGGACAGGTGGATTCCCTGCCACGCCCACTATGTGCTACACCTCTTAGTGAATGGAGTGAGCTTTGGGAAATTGTTGGTAAGCTGAAGAGCAGTTGGCGAGACTTTGGGGAAGCAGTGTGCACAGCTTAGCAAAGGAATGCGCCAGGATATGGTTTTTCCCATTCCCCACTTTAGAAACAGTTTGTTTAAAAACTTAAACATAATCTCTAGAAGTAAGATAAGATCTGTGGAAGGGAATTAGGAGACAGTTTCTGACATTCTCTTGGAACTGAGCAGTTAAGGATAAAGCTAACTCATAATATTAAATGGATTTTACATTCTAATGATGATGATATTAATAATAGATGATATAAAGAAACCAGCCATCTCATTCTTAAGAGCGCAGTCAGGAACCTGGGGCTTCATTCTCATTTTCTTTTTCAGATTTAGAGAAAGCAATTTTTTTGCTTCTTTATCATTCTTCTCACAGGCTCCAAAAAAATCTTGATATAAAGTGATAATTTACTTAAGACCATGGAGGAGTTAAAAAAAAAGACAGTAACATTGTAAGATTAAAATAGTTGACTTATTAGCTGATGAATAAAGAAGGCACAAATAATTTGAATATTTCCTCTAAGATGTTCCTCAAACCTACCATTGAAAAAGAACCTAGTGAGCCTCAGTTTTCTTCTCTGCTATGGGAATAATAACTCCTGTTATGCAGAGGTGTCAAATAAGGTTTATTGCAGCATCATTGCTTACTAGTTTGTGGGGGACCCATATTCAGAACTGAACAACTCCTCCCCCCTCACCACCCCGTGACTGGTCAACGCAGGTGAGAATGCAGATGTATATAATTGATCCATGTTGAGGCATTATGAGACTAGTTCAATGAGAAGGGCAAGGAGAAAGGGCACTGAAGGTGCAGACAGAAAAAGAATAAAGGTCAGAGGAATCAAGTGAGGTTGAGGGGCACGTGATGAGGGTGAGAGACGGGGAGGATGGAGCAAGGTGCTAGCTGCTGCCTGAATGAGAGAACTGAAGAGATGAATCAGCACTGGTCCTTGCTCTCCAACTGAGAAGCCATTGCACTCACACACATCAGGGAACAACACACAACCCTGCCGAACTCCCCTCATCACTTTGTCATGGCAGTGGAAACGCTCAACCGCCAGGCTGGTCAGATCCTCTGATTCCCCCCTCTGAATCCTTCTGCCCAAGCCAGGACTCTATGAACACAATTGATCACTGGAGAAGGTTGCATTGATTTTGAAAATGGCAGCCTCATATTCAGCTTCCAACATAGAAACTTTCCTCATTCATGATGTTGCATAATAATTGATCTACTGTGGCTAAACAAATTTAGTTACACGTCCTGAAACTCACACGCAGGAACGACCCTTAAAGCAGCTTTCCCAGCCCCATGCAGTTGTGCCTCTGGGCTCTGCCTCTGTCTGAGGGAGGGAGACAAGACTGTGGGTAGGTTTCTGCTATTTTCTTTTCACCTGTTGGCCGAAAATGTATCACTGGCAGAAAAATTGTCCCGAGGGATGCCTACTACCCTGCCCCTCCCATTCTCCCATTTGCTACACCACCTTCTAAAAGGGCATGAGAACAGTTTGCATAAGGCTGAGAGTTGTGTAAAGAGAAGTCTGGCAGTCTGCAGAGTGAATCAGTAGGGAAACACCCTCTATTATCTGCTATTCTTAATTCATCCCTGGAGAAAACGGGTGGATTCTCACACATAGGTTAGTTTTCAGCAATTTAGCAGCTAGTTATTTGTGATTATTACAAATGATTCATTTGAGTTGTGTCAATCTAACATGGGTTACTTGCTTGTGCAAGTCACCATGTATGCAATGAAAGTGTACTAGACCTCTTCAGTGACACAGCCATAAGAACCTGTAGATATTATATATGAACCCATGAAAATTTTCCCCAACTCTTGTTGTATATGGAATATCTAGGATTTTTTTTATTCATAAATGACTTGGCAATTATTTTTTTTTTCTCACAGGGTCAATTGAGAAAGATAGCTGTTATTTTTCTGAAATTTTAGTTGTAGAAATTGAGTCCCAATCAAGTGAAGCAAAGTAAAACAAATTAAAAGAGGTTGGAAGTATAATTAATAATCACCAACTCTAGAACCTCACTAGGTTTCATTCATTCATTCACTCACACACTTCATCACGAGGCTCTGGGGAGTCAGTATTGGACAAGCCCCAAGGCCCCACAAGCTTATACTTTACAAGTCATCAGTGGGACGAGAGATCTACCCAATAGATGGAGTCACTGGGGGGTGATGAACTCTGCCACTGGTCAGTCCCTACACCACCAGGAGAGACTTCTAACACTGGGGTTTTATTTTTCAACTCTAAACGTGGCCACTCCTCCAAATCACTCAATAAATACATTAATACGTGGTAGCAGGTCATCTTGGATGGTGAGGAAAAGTAAGGAGGTAGACTAACTTTAGGAAAGGGTGCCCCAAGGTATACGGAAGCTATTTCTCTTATGGGAAGGACTGCCATAAAGAAGGGAGAGAAGCTTTTTCTGATTTGACACAAGGCAGCCAGAACTAGAACATGGGTAAAATTCCAAAGTCACAGCTGTAAGTCCATTTGTTTGAACCTCCTGAAAATCAGAGTGCTTCTAAGATGGCAAGGACAAATTTGGAAGGTAATGAGCTTTCTGCACCAGGACTGTTCAAGAAAAGACTAGATAATCAAGTGTTAGGATGTCCTAAAGCAGGCTCATGCATCCAAATGGGTGCTGAAGGCTTAATGATTCCTTACTTTGTCTCACTCTGGTATCTAAAATAACCCCGGGAACAGTGCTGGCCTCAGAATGGATGCCTACACTGGAAATAGCAGGATGGTGCCTTCACCATGTCACTGGGGGTGAAGTCGACATTTTGCCTCATTGAAGGTTGAGGGAAGAGTAAACTACCATCTGGAAGTTTCAGTCATCCTTAGTTAACACTATTATTGTAAGTGGAAATATTGAGGTCCCAGGTTTCCACCTTAAAATGAACCACTTAGTGGTAGTGAGTTCTCTTTCTTCCACCTGGCCCCTCTTTCTGTGCTTCTGGTAGTACAAATTCCAAGATAGTAGTTCATGAGAGGAGAGGCTTTATGGCAAACAAGGATCATGTTGAAAACATGGCGAGTTTGGGCTTTGGGGTCACCTCTAGAGTTTGTGACGTCTGACTTGTTTATTTCTCCCTTCTCACTCCTGCTGTGCCTTGTCATGCATTCTTTGCAGTTGAATGTGTCTTTCAAGAATATATCCTTGAGTCTTTATCCCAGGTCCCTGTAAATGTCAACTTATTTGGAAATAGGGTCTTTGTAGATGTAATCAAGTGAAGATTAGGTTGTGCTGGATTAGGGTGTGTCCTTACACAATATCAAGAGATCTTATAAGGAGACACACATTTGGACACACAGATGGGGGAGAACGTGCTGTGAGGATGGAGGTAGAGACTGGAATGAGGCAGCTACAAGGAATGACAA